CAGCCAAACTGCAAAAAAAAGAAGAAAACACACACAAAAAAAACTTCACAAAAATCAGCTGGTGCTCCTTTAATCTTTCCATTTTTTTTTTTTTTATTTTAAGGAAAGGTAAAAATAACTAGTTACTTAGCTGAGCTGCTCTTTTACCACATTGTAATGAATTTACCCTAACTCCTCAATTTCAGGTATCATATTTGCATCAAAGAATTGCAAGTAATGATGAAAATTATTTCATCATTAAGTATGATGAAATAAAATCAAGATGATAAGATAAAAACAGAGAAGGAAAGAGCCCTGATTCTAACTCGGATTTCTGCTTAATAACTGAGTTTACATTACACAATGGTGTTTAAGCCTAGCCTGAAAGATATTATTGGATATAATCTCCAGGTCAGAACAATAAGAAATTTTCACAGACCTTGCATTATTTCATGTCCTGCCTTCTACTCCCTACCCCCTCCTCTCCAAACAATCAACAGATAAAAAGAAAAAAAATCAGTAGGTCCCGAGTGACACACAGGGCTCTGTGAAGAGTTAATATCTACGGCTGGTTAGACTGGTACAGCCCCTATAAATAAAAAAGAACACTCATCTTCACAATGTCATAACAAGCAATACTTTGGGGAGGGCAGTATTTCAGAAATAGGTCATCTGAGCTAGAGGGAAACAGATGAATTTTTCTGAAATCCTATCTCAGAAATAACTAATGCAAGTGACAAAAATAAAAACTGACCCAAGTATATGGGCCTGAAAAATCCAGATTTAAGTCTGAAAAAAAATGAATAGCTCTGAAAATTCACATACTTTCTGCAATTTTTTTTTCATTATGGTTCACGTGCAATCACGGCTTGCTCTGGAGCACACTGGCTGAGATTACTATGAAACATGCTCTTGTAACTCTTTTATCCCTGGTAAAAATTTCCGTATGGATTCTGCTTAAAGCATTATAGAGGACGTGATTGTGATCTTTCTTTTCATTTTTCATTTTAAAAAGAGTCTGTCTGGAGAGAAGTTTAAACACTAACATTGAAGGGTCATCAGAACACAGACAAGTAGCTCTGATGCCACCATGAGGTCCTGCTTCTGATGGGGCCGCATTAACTACACTGGGGTACCACTCACCTCCTGCACCAACAAATCAATAGTAATTTAAATACTGTTGCAGTGTCTCAAGAAAAGGCTGGGCAGGAGGGAAGTAGTGTGCAGTCATCATCCATAGCAGACTGTTAACCTCTTTTCCATAATATGACCCTATAATCCCATCGCCTATGTTTGAACCTCAGCTTTGCCGCTTTCTCCTTAGAAGCAAGTTCCCTAATTGTTCCGTGTCTCAGTTTCCTCATAAGATAATGACCACTTCCTTTGGTTGTTATAAAGATTAAATGAATCAATATTTAATTGATTCAATTAGGCCCTTAGAGCAGTTTCCATGGAGATTTGCTCCAGAACTATCACCCACATTAACGGTCACAAGGCAGTCATTTCCAAGTCCTTCCAAAGATCTGCTCCGTCCTCCTCAAACCCCTCTCCCATGTACAGCCTGGACTGGCTTTCTTCTCTCCCTTTACAGCTTTTTTTTTTCGTTATTGATTTTTTTCCTACCCAGTAGCTCTTTGACCCTTCCAAATTAATTTTAGCCTCCTGAAGCTTCTTCAGGTATTTTTTCCCTACTTTGCTCATTAAGTCCATTTTCTTAGAAGAGTGCAGAGAGAAGTGAAAACTTATCCTCCATGATTCTTTTCAAAAATGACTGTCACAGAAGTTTAGGAATATCTATGATTCTTACTTTTATGATTAAAAAAAAGCACTCTGGAAGCAACTCAAATGTCTTAGCCATTGGTAAACGCATAAACAAGTTGTAGTATATCCATACCCAGGGAATAAATCACTCAGCAATAAAACAGAGCAAACTCCTGGCACATGCAACAACATGGCTACATCTCACAAGCACTGCGCTAAGGGAAAGAAGCTAGATACAGGAGACCACACTCTATATAATTCCATTGATATGACATTTAAAAAAAAGCAAAACAACAGTGCCGAAAAGCAGGTCAGTGACTGTCAGAGGCTAGAGACACACAGAGATCAACTGCAAAGGAGTAAGGGGAATAGCTGAGGTGGTAGAAACATTCTACATCTTGACTGTAGTGGTGAGTACATCATGTATATACATCTGTCAAAGTTCATCAGAATGTATCCTTAAACTGAGTGAATTATGATGTTCGTAAACTGTATCTCAGTATGGCTGGGGTTTTATTATTATTGTTTGTTGGATGTAAACGATCCTGATCTGTAGTCAGAAAGAAGAAGAACATAAATCCTGACGATACTGCTTCACAAAAGGGGCAGTCCCCTTCACTTTTTCCTGATGACTCTGTTGCATTCTCCTGGGTTCCCCCAATCCCTACTGCTGGAGAGGTTGTTGATGGCTATCTAGAAAGAGTTTAATGAGAGCATAATTTGGGCTGAACTTCTTTACCAATTACAAAGCAATTTTTTTAGGCCATGATTTTAAAGTGTACTTACTAACTAAAAGCCGACCATTGTCTTCTCAAGTGCACAGAATGATAGTCCTTGATTAGCCCAGTCAGATGAAATGAATTGAATTTGAGTTCAGATAAACAACAATATTTTAGTAGAATGACATCTCAAATACTGCAAAAGTCGTCACGTTTTAAAATCTGTTCTATATGGCAACCCTATTAATAACACTATTGTCATCAGTGCGTTTATGGCCTTTTCAATTTTATTTAATCACTCACAATGCTTAGCTAATTAAACTCATTAATTAAGCTCATATTATGTCATAGCTGCAGGTATATTTAGTAAAGACTGCTGGGAACTACCCTCTTAAGAAACCAGGTGGCAATGTTAAGGCAATGACTACCAAAGAAGTAACTGACTCAGGACCTCACTAATAATTTAATCAAATTGTGATCTCCACACCTACTGTTAAGGTCCGGGGGTACTGGTTCTCCAAACCCAGTTGACCTGGTTCCGTTATTCAGCTGAACTAGAAAGTTCAAGGCACAGCAGTAATTGAAAGCAAAAATGAACGGCAACTGAAAATAAAACTGGAGCAGCACAGGCAGCGTGAATAGAGAGCAAAAGTAACCTGCACAAATCTCAGTGTAACAAGGAGAAATTTTATTTAAGCACAAAGAGTAAGCTTAGAGCCCTTCCAGAGAAAGTTGGAAATGGGTCCCTCTCATGATGGAGAAAAGGTGAGAGAGACAGAAACACAGAGGCAGTGTAGAGGTGTAAACACTCTCTTTCACTCAGTTGGAAATTGGTTCTACTGTTCTTTTCTACTGGTCATTGGTTACTGTCTCTTTCTATTGGTCATGGCTTACCTAGGTTACTTCACACCCACATTGTTACAGGCCCTCCAGATTTCCTGGTTCTGTAGGCAGGTTTTCCTCCCATCCTCCGCTTAGAGGATACTAAGAAAGAACCCCCCCCCCGCCTTCTTAGTGTCCTTTCTCATTAGGGCATCCTCAACTTGGTTCTTGTTAGAAAAAGAATCTCACATTCCACCTAGACCCACTAAATTCAGAATATGCATTTTAACAAGATTTCCAGGTGAATCTTATACACAGTAAAATTTTAGGAGACCTGATTTAGAAAGCTGGGTTTCAGGAAAATTCTGTAGCAGTTGTATGCAGGATGGGTTGAAAAAATATTGACTGCTAGTGTAGAAACCCCTTACACGGGCAATTAAAAAGCTTAGGCATTACCTTAAGACCTGAATTCTAGTGCAGGCAGCAGGAATGAAAAGAAAGGAATTGAAATAAAAAACATTCAAATGGGAAAAAAAAATCAGTGGGACTTGGTAACAGAATGAATAGAGGAGGGAAAGGAAAGATGTCCAAATTTAAATACAAATCAAGTAGAAGCACTGTGACTTCTAATATGACTGGCAGTGGTTCTCAACCTTGGCCACACACTGCAACCACTTGGGAGCTTTAACAATGTTGATACCTTATTCTGATTTAAGGTGAAGTCTGGGCATTAGACTTTTAAAATGCTATATTCAGATAAGCAGAATAAAAGAAAAAGGCAGAAGAAAGGGGAACTTACTCTGTCTTTGGAAGCTGGGATGTCCATTCTCTCCCTCCTTTGGACGTCAGAACTCCAGGTTCTTAGGCCCTTAGACTCTAAGACTTAAAATGTTCTCAGGCCTTAGAATTCAGACCTGAATTACACCACAGGCTTCCCTGGTTCTCCAGCCTGAGGACTATGAGTCATGAAACTTCCCAGCCTCCGTAATTTCATGAGCCAACACCCACAATAAATCCCCTCTTATTTATCTATACACATGCTATAGATTCTGTTTCTCTGGAGAACCCTAACACAAGTGGTAATCTTTTAGAATTTTCCGGCAAGTTGTAATGCGTAGTCAGGATTGAAAATGCCCAATTGATACTTTTAGTTTAATTGATAATTTATTAAGTATTTTTTTTTGAAATAAGGATAACATGAAGAGAGAATTCAGTGCTAACAGAATCCAATCTTCAAGTCAGATGAAATATAAACCAACATATTTTCATTTGCTTATTATAATTTCACATTAAAATTTATACAACTGGAATTAGCTACAACTTTCATTTTTTCAAAGCCTCAGTTTGAATCCAAAGAAACCAGGTCTCAACCATTGCAATGGATGACAACTTATAAAATAAGTATTACTCATACACTTAAAATATAATATGAAATAAATTGATTCCAATCACAACCATAATTACATAAGGAAAATGGCCTTTAGGTAAGAAAGTAGGAAATGAGATTTAAAATTTATTTCTGTCAAAGGTCATAGTAAACTTTGTCAGGATTCAACCCTATAACAAAAGTAAATAAAAAATACCAAGCAGAACATTTAAGTACTTAGTACATTATAACTAACTCGTCACTATAACAATATTTCATATATGTATAAAGAAAACTTTCGAAAGAAAAAAATCTTTCCAAGCAATCTTTTATAAAATGGGAAACTGGCTTACCTCTTCCCTGTGATTCTTAATTGGCATACAAAGAATACTTTGTGTCTTGTAGCCTGTAATTTGATCAACTTCTGCATTGAACCGAGGATCCTAGTAAGGAAAAAGAAATTCAATTTAATAACCTACCTGTTCAAAGATTGATTTGATTTTTCTGATTTATTAGATTAGAATTTTCTGATTTATGATTTTAGAAAAAAATCTAACCTTTGACTTGCTTTGGTCCTCTGAGTAACAATTTTAACATTGTGAAAGGCATCAAGTCATACAAGTACATATCATCTTTGACAATGATACATTTCGGTTGTTTTTTATTACCAGCTAGAGTTTATGAGAAAAATTACAGACTTGGACAGATGTTCATAAATAAAATAAAATTCAAAATATTAACCATTTTAAACATCCATACTTAAGGAAAAAGTGGCATCTTTCTGCCTCCATAAAATAATGGGCCTCTCCATCTTGCTGCCTGACTCTCCTGTGCCATCCAATGGAAAAGATCTCTGCTATAATACCTTATTTAAAGACCCATCACCTCCACAGCAATCTTTTCAATAAATGACTACCTCCCTTATAATGGTTGCTTTTACATGTCCTCAGTATTCTGTACTTCTGTCTCAAGTGCTGATAAGAATTTAAGTTCATGTTACACATTAAAGAGATACATGGACTGAGGTTGAGTATAAACAATTCCTTAATCTTTCGAATCTCATTCTCCTTTCACGAGGCACAGCATACACATCCAATAATCACGAAGAACTTCTCGGAGGTGTAAAAGTTCGAAATATGGATTAAGGAAGGGTAGAGTTTAATTTTTTATTCAACTTCTTTAGATTAAGAAGTTCTAAACTTAGGCTGAAAATTCTATCTACAGTTTATTTATTTATTTACTTATTTTTTGGTTCATCACCTTATTCCCAATACTTAGCACAGGAACTCAAAAGCACTTGTTAAATAAATGAAGGAATTCACTAACAAATAATTCCACAGCTATTAAATAGGTGATCATTTCTAATTTCTTATTGTTTAAGGCAAATCCTATCCGTAAGAAGGAAACCACAGTAGAGGACATCAGCAGATACAACTCCAGGAGGGAAGATTAGAATGGAAATAGACATTCCAAAACATAAACATCTGAATGAGTTCCCAAAATGTTACATGTTCAACCCAATGACAGCATCACTGCTCTAAAAAAGTCTGCTTTTGGAATTCCCTTCAGAGAATATGGAATATCCATATTGGAAAAGCTCATTTTTTTGAAGGTCAATTTCTTTTTTGTTTTAATAACGCAGTCACAGTCAAGCTCTGAATGAAGTAGGTGAGTACACTAGATTCCATAAATTGGGGTCAGAAATGAGGCCAATTTTCTCCCGAGAGGGCCAAACTTGGCTTTAAAGATAATTTCAAAAGAAAAGTTATAAAATGGTGGAAAAATCAGTATAAATATTTTATATCATAAACACTACTGCATTTTTGCATTTTCTGCAAACATGCTCAAAGTTATATTATTTGAGACTTGGAGAAAACCTTAGCTGAATGTTTCTAATAAAATAGATCTTACTTTAGCTTTTGATATTGCAAGGTATCTAAAGAAAGCAGATAGGATAATCATGTTGATGAATTAAAGAAGTGAAAAATTATTGACATGGTAATTATTTTATAGACTAACAACAAAATGTGAAAAATCAAAATACATTCTCAGCAGTTATTTTCTTGATGACTATTTTAGTTATAAGACAATTTATAAAGAATAATGTTTAACACTATGATCTAATCAAGCAGGAGAGTTTAACAGATGGAAATTAGTGGCATTTTCAAAGCTTTTTTATGTCCACTGTTAGTTTAAAATCAACAGCAGCCCTGAATTTCACTCTTCATTGAAATGGATGGGAATAATATATCCTTCAAATTCCATTTCAAGGGATGTTCTAAACTCCTGGCATCTCAAAGGGTTTTCCTGTGATAAGACAATACAAACGGAGGACTTCTAAACCCTGTATGTCCAGGTAATACCAGAGAAAAAAATGGAATACTACTATCATAGTGATTATCCTTTCACTGTTTATGAGAACATGAGAGTATGAAAAAAACACAAGCCCCGGATAGACACTTGACATAACAAAGCATCTGGTACCAGACATGCCCTCCTGCTGGAGACAGCTATACAACTAGACAAAATAAGAGACAACAAAGCCACAAACAAGACAGAGGGGAACGAGACCTGACTGTCATACTTTTTATCTGAGAGCGTTTTCCTGCTGTGGAGAAGGTGAGCACTACGGAAGTGAAGGAGCAGTTCCTAAGAGAACGAGGGGAGTTCCAAATTTCTTAAGTGGCTGGAATTTGTAAAGCTGAGAGGCTGTGCTGGGGGTCTGAGGAGTAGATGGCAGGAGAGGGGTGGTAGAACACTGAGAGGCCCTTCACTTTGAACCTGTATAGTGCAGAATTCTAAGAAGATTAGCAGAAGGCTGGAAACTGCATGGTGATACTGTTAGGGAAGGGTTTGGAGATGAAAGTATTCCAACCTAGCCAGACTAGAGAATTCACTTAAGTAGCTCAGGCAATTAAGATAGGGCAAGGCCAATACTTAGGAGTAAAGAGCATACCTTATGGTTGAGGGGTACTCCCTAAAACTAAAATCAAAACTAGAATAGATTCACTCTAACAAATATTATAATAAGACAAAAGCTGACAGAATCAAAAGGACCTGACAGCAATTTTATTGTCTGCCAGAGCAAATCTCATCCCTATTTTAAAGGACGAGGATATAATCTAAATGCTTGGCAATGAAACATACATGATGTCCAACATACAAGCAAAAATTACTACACATGTGAAGAAACAGGAAATTGCAACCCATAGTAAAGAGAAATAATAAGAAAAGGAAAAAAAATGACCCCAAGATGATTCT